TGACTTAATGAATATTATTGTAACATATAAACTATCCTCATCAATCAAAATATCTATTAAAATAACGCATCAATCCGTTGCGTAGTTTTAAACATTTAAGCATTCATAGGGACAGAGAAAGCGAATTTGTTTTATACTATGTAGCGATAGTGATGTTATCTATATAAAAGTGTATGTTGAACTTAATTCACATACACAGACACACACGTGGTAGCTTTCAGGCTTAATTAGAACGCTAGCAGCACTCATAAGATTGGTTTTAATTACGGAGATTTTCATTATCCGATGTTTGGAAAGATAATGAATAGTTGAGTACCTATTAAACAGACATCATGCATAAAATGACGCCTTTAAAGCTTTCAAGAGGTAACCAGAAGTTCACATACTTAGTCAAAAATATATAGGTACTACTATCATTTCAATCACTCACTTCACATCGCATTCGGATCAATCACTAATAAAGAACTTCTAGAATAAAGTTCTTTATGTGGGGTATGATGTTTCAATGCATAAAGTATTAAAAAATAATCATTCTCATGTGTTAGTTTTGCAATTCGTATTTTAGTCATCTTCTTTTTTTAAGAAATGAGTACCACACCATCGTCCTGTAGGTAAGTAGTTACCGGTGAGCAAAGACCTGATCGCACACGGAGAAGGTTTGAGCATTAATAATCTCACGCTTGCTGAGGGGGGCGGGATTGGCGATTTCGAACTTATAATTAGAAATTATAAGTCCAGGTTTCCCAACGATGTTTACCTTCACCATATCAGTGAGTCAGTGGTGTCTATATAATCATGGAAAGTACATATAACTCCAAAGTCACCTTAGTACTTGCTAAGTTTCGAAACTGCACCCTCATGCCGTAATGCCGAGAAGCCGTAAGCTCCGGGCTACAACGACACACAGAAATGAGTATTTTTTAATCTTCGGTGATCTAATTGTTCTTTGGGGGTAATCTGATGGATCTTCGAGCGTGTCGTTAATAGGTTGTGTCATTAAAAAAGCTAGAAAAACAACGCTTGCATGACTAGTATGTTTTTGGATGACTATTTTTTATTAGTTATTACGAGTAGTTTTTGATACTATAAAAACATTTCAAACATACCAATTGCTAATAAACAATATATACCTAAGTAAAGTTTATTAACTGTTGCCAAATTCGAGACAATAAATATACAGAAAGTGAGAGTAGCTTATTCATGTTTTAAATATAAATTATACACATGGATCAAAATGGTTTTGTTTGTTTACAAACAATTAGCTGAGTCGCACAAATAAACATTTCAATTTTGGCGTGTTTTAGAGTGGATCCACACGAGACGTAATGTATTTTCTATTTTGTCTCATATACCGACATTCAGCCGGTTATGTGTATAAACACACACGAATGGATCCGCTGCATGGTAGTGATATCAAAGCCTCACAGAGTGAGGTTCTAGAGGCCCTCATATCCCCAACCGGTCAAAAGCAAGCATTCCTTAAATCCCTAGATCCTCAAATCCCCAACCCCTAAAAAGCCAGTAACGCGCTTACAACTCCTTTGGTGTTGCATGTCACCAATCGCCTGCTGGTTTACTAAACTATCCCATATATAAAATCAACTTAGATTATTTTCTCAAGTACTAGGTTTTGTATACAATTTTTACGCCAGAAAATTATTATCGATTGATTTATTTAGCACCAAAACCGATTATAGTTTAGAGAAATGGTGACAGTTTTAATAAGTATTTATGTACAAAAGCACATTAGACCTTCACTATCTTACGTATACGACCTTATTACAAATAAACTTTTTCTTTAGTCTAGGTCTAAACCATTGAGCCAGCTTTTGTATTTCAAATTGAAGGTAGGTGAGAATAAGATTCAAAATACAAAACCTGGCCCAATGGTTTAAATCTAGACTAAATATAAATCTTGTTTTGCAATAAGAGGGAAAACGTCGAAATGTTACAATTATTTGATATAAAAAAAAATGTATAAAATTGGATCGCAAAATGTGTTGGTAAGCGCATAACTCATCAACGCCTGGACCAATTTTGCTAATTCTTTTTTTGTTGTGTTTGTTATTGTCAGGAGCAGGTTCTTGAAAGAAATGAAAGAAAAATTTAGAAAAATAGAGGGGAAGAATAGGAAAAGTGACCCTTTGATAGCGAGATAGTTGGACCCAAGCAAAGCGGGGGCGGGCCGCTAGTTATTTATATGTTTAACGAACTAACACCATCTACATTGATGCAACCTCTATGTCACAAGACGCAAACAACTTTTAAGAAAACGATTGTAAAAGAGATACAAAAATCAATATCAATTTACATATGTATGTATGTATGTATATAAAAACAACCCGCACACTTGAACAACTCAGTTATCGTACGTATATTCGTAAGGTAAATGACACTTCGACATGTGGGCGAAGTATATCGATTGTTTTAAACTTTAGGCAGAATAAATAATATCAAAGGCATTTTTTTTTGGTTCTTTATGTATTTTTAAGTGTACTAGTAATTCTAATTGGATATTTTTTATGTTATTTGGCGGCACACGAACAGACCTAATTCCTATACCCGTATTATCAGAGGAGTTACGAGAGCGTTGCCGTTTACGATTTAAATTATTTATTAAACTTTATCTAATAGATAATAAGTATCGGAGATTAATAAATCAGAAAAATTACAAAGATACTAGCTACACCCGCGCGATATCGGCCTCAGCTCAACACGAAAAGGAAGTGGCGTAACGTCATGTAGCTAAAAGCATAACTATATATCACTTAAACAATTTTAAAATTCGAACCAGTAGTTCCTACCATGTTCAAAAACACAAACTCCATATCACACTTAAAGGGAATCATCCTTTACAGCATATTTTTTTAATTTCATATCATAGACTAACAAGAAAAACTTTTTTCATTATTAGGTAACAGTCACACTGAGCAGTCATATTAACATAGTCACAAAAATGTGGCTTCACCTTGAAGTTAACTTGTAATATATTAGCATAGTGACCCCATTGGTTATCAAACAATTTTGTGGTTCATACCTAATACAGAGATGTGTTCATTTAATGATAACTTCTGATGTTCAAGAAGATATTTCAATAATTTTGAAAAATGATATGTTTAATTTGATTTTTGGACTGGGAGGGTAAACCATGATCAGTCTTGTGAAGATAAATGATCAGTGCAAACCATAGACGAAAACAAGACCACCTAGTCATAAGTATGTTAGGTACCTGCTTTTCAAGAAGAACTAGACTCTTTTTTCTGAAGACTAAAATAATTTACCAAGCATTTAATTTTAGATTGTTTAAAATATAAAATTCACTTGTACAGGATTTTGAGTTTAATTACAACTATGTTTTAGGTACATAATATAGATATATAATATTGCAATGACTGCCAATAATAATTAGTAATAAAAAGCCAACTAATTATCTCTGGATGATATGAGAGATCAGCCTGTCCAGACAAATAAATATGTAATAATTAAACATCCTAATCATTATACAACTTTAAGATGAAAATTTAATTTAATAGATATACAAAACATAGTATGAATGAATGTTTGTAACTCTTTCACATAAAAACAACTAAATGGAATTTGATAAAAAATTGCAGCACAGATAGATTATGGCTTGGAATAGCAGATAGGCTACTTTGCATCTGGGGAAACACAGATGAAGCCACCGGGCAAAATTAGTATGTAATAGGTGACTATATTTCAATCACCAACATAGGTGGGAAACTAAAGTGTGGAGGTTACACTGCTAAAGATTGCTTTTAGCGATAAGGCCACCTATATTTTCCCTATGCATTTTTTTATTATGTATACTACCTGTAAAGAACTCCTTTGGTGTATTATTTATATATAAGATTATTTATTTATTTTTATAATTATTTATATGTCAAATATTCATGTAAGAAACAAACAAAAGACAGTAAACAAATACATTACAGTAAAATTAACATTTTAATTCTGCTACACCAAGTGAGAGTTAGAGTGTATAATTTAATTGAAATATGTGTTAAATATTGTGACCTTAATTTACAGCAAATGTCTAGGTATTGTTTCCAAATGTTACAAAATGTTAATTAGCAAAAGAATACCTAAACATGTGTTAATCATTATTATCAGGATGTGTAGAAATAGATAAAATCTCTAAGTTGTCTCTATTTTAAACAAAAAATCTTGTTCGTAAGTGCTTTTGTGTGTAATAAACTCTTTCGTCAGTTTCCAAACTTTTCAGTGCCACATAGACAAATCTGTACTAACATATTTCAGTGTTTAAAATCACCAATATACAAGAATTGTACTTCAACCTTGGTGTATAAATCCACTTTTACTTAAGTTTAACAGCAGGCACATAAAAAATATAAATGAAATAGGTAAAACAATACCGTAATATCCCTAACTGTAAATTGCCATATGGAGTGTTAATTACATGAGTTTTCACAAAGTTTTCAGGTGTAATATACCCAAATATATGTTGTTTTCTTGTGAAAATATACACAAAACACTTACTGCACTCAAAAGGACCTTCCATTTTAATTAAACAAAAGAAAACATTGGCACTGAAACTACAGCACGGCCGTTACACTTGACTGAAATTATTCTGTTGCTATATTCATACAATAATGTGTATACAGTTTTTTGAATTAGCTACAGACTGAAGTTGGTTCAATCAATAACACACAAAAACATGCAATTTGGTAGGCGGTTTAGCATTGACATGATGTAAATTTCTAATCATACACGATAAGTGACTTATTACAGCGTCAAGATAAACAAAACTAGCTCGTGAACAGATGTTACCTGGGCAAAAGATTTGCAATGTCCATGGAAGCCATACAACACGTCTTACGAAGTCTCACAAGTGTTGTGTATATCGTAAACCCCTAAACGCTCTGTTACGCATGTTTTAATACGAGACAATAAGTCATATGAAAACAATTAAATGAGAACATGACTCAATGCGTCGTTACAAGGGTCACAAGTTATCTCACCTGGAAAATGATTGAAAGAAACCTCGAAGTCGCCGCGGCCGCCGAGCAGCGGCTGCGACTCTCTGTTCACCCCTGGCGAATCCACGTTGCCCTCGAACCCGACCTCTGGCACTAAACAAATCTCCTCCGAACTACTCGACAAAGATACCACACCGTCATCGGGCGGCGTAATTGCTGTGTTTGGTTTGTCGAAATCGAGATTCAACAGAGTCTCTTCCGTACTCATGAGTAATGTTAAACAGTAAATCTCTACCGAGCCTCATTTATTTCGTATAAATCTCTTTGTTTCACAACCATTTAACACAAACACATAACTTCATTCAACGATGGTGCAAAGACTATAGAACTGAGTAATGACAGCTGAAATTGACAAGTTGTAAAATCATAGACACTACTTTGTTTTTTTAATAGTGTTGACCACAAACATTTATTACTAAATTTAAACGACAACAAATTCCATAACCTTTTTTTTATTCGAAATTTATAACAAAATTTATAAAACAGCATAATTTTCTCCTCTTTTACAAAAATCTGTTTGTAAAGAGCAATGTATTGTACTCTATGATTTTAATGATAAGTTTTGTAACTGTAGGTTGGTAGTCCTTTACCCGCGAAATTTTAAATGCTAATAGCTAAACACATAACGAATTTATCATTTCACTTGTATGTACGTTCTTTAAATATCAATGTTATTTTAAGTAGCGTTAAAAATAACCTTAATATATATTGCGAACTAATCACTATAAATGATTATACTGGGTATATATTTCGCTTGAGTTTGCGAAGTGATTAAGGGTATTCATATGTAGCACTGATATTTCATAGATTTCATCGGGTATTACAGCACTACTAATATTCTTTATAAACTACCAAAATAACTACCCATAATTGAATAATGTTTATAAAAGTCACTTATCAAAACCTATGAAATTTCATTAGAAAAGGATGCGTCAAGACCTAGTGAATCATCAAAACCGACGAATTGTGTATCTGTAAAACCATTTTCTAAAAATCCTTCTTTGCCGTACAGTCCTTTATTTTGATCATGATTAAAGGTACCTTTGTTAAGGGTTCCTTTTACTTCTAGTGACTTGCCAGCCCCATTCAAGGCGTTTTTATTAATAGATCCTTTGGTTTCGTCATCTTCATAGAATTCTTGATCTTTCTTATATTCGTCCTTGTGATGGACCCGATGGAAACCTCTTGTTTTGTTGCCTCTTCGGTAGGTTCTGTTTTCATTAGCTTTTATGACGGCAGCGGTTGCTGCAATGGCGTTAGCTAAAGCATTTATATCCAAATCGTCGTACGCCCCATGTTCACGCGAACCGCCAGTTTTGTAGAATGACTTTGTATCACCAGATCTATATTTGGTCTTTTCATTTTTTCTTTCACTATTCTTCTTTTTAGATCCTATAATCTTTAAATTGACATCCTTGCCATCTTCTTCAAAAACAATCGGTTTCTTTATTACTTCACCTATTCTCAGTAGTTTTGAAAAAGGGTTGGTTGCTTCGTCTTCATCATCAAATCCTTGGGCGGAGTAGTCTGCGTTTAAATTCTCGAGCACTTCAGGTTTTCGGGGCCATGACTCGGCGAAGCGCGCCACGGTCAATGTCAATACGAGGCACATGATTTTCTTTTGCATTTTGTCCTTATTTTTTTGTCTCCACTCTTGCGCAATCGAAGTAGGTTGCGACACTGACATACATGGCGTTGGCTAGGCTTATATAGCCTTTTGTTTAGATTTAATAGACAAGGATGTTTTTTTTTCGAGATGAGTGTTTCGGTGTTTGTTTGTCCACAGTCGATTAGATTCGTAATCGGTGCAACGATTCGGATCGGTCAAGGTCGTGTCGATGCATTAACTTTTCTTACGATTTTTCAATTAGATTATTGTAATATTATATTACTAGCGACCCGTCCCAGCTTATGCGAAGCCGGGCTGCGATGCTGATACTGAATCTCTCCATTGTTTAATGGAAGTTATTATACTTACGTATAAACTTTTCTCTTTAATCACTTTTTCTATTAAAAACAGTATTAAAATCCGTTGCATAATTTTAAAGATTTGAGCATACATAGGGATATAGGGACAAAGAAAGCGACTTTCTTTTATCCAGCGTTTGCTAGAGTAGCAAATTTGCCAGGGATATCCAAAATTATTTATTTAGTTTAATTATAACGATGACTATTTCTACTTCACACATAAGACTGCCGTGCCTTTTTTGTGAGGGGAAAATCAACGAATGACTTCTCATGGATGGATGGGGCGAGAGTACCAGACTCTTACTGACTAAAAACCTTTTCCTGCTTTAGACCGAGGCCGCGGTGCCAGAATTGCGCTTGCCCCGGAACGTACCTCGTCTTGCATGACGAGGGGATTTGGACTTGCGATTCCTGATTCTGATAGATACAGTATTATTCAAGAGGCACGAATTCTTGTAATTGGTGGATACTAGAATTGTGCCTATTTTAGCCAATAGATGTACTTGATGTCTTGGATAGTAATTCCCGGCTCCGAGCAGAAGATGGAAGGGGATGGTTTTAAGAAAGTAAGAATCTAACATTCTCGCACCATCCTCTTAGTAGAAAGACGATTTTACCTTCACAGAAAAGGAGGTCTTTATTTCCAAATATTTTGTGTTTAGCTGTTAAGAGTTTCGCCCGGCATACCTTAACATTATGCCAACAATATAGGTAGCTGATAGACACGGGTTATTTTTTATAAGTTTAAAAGGACTTTATTTAAGCATTGTATGCCACCTTTCTTTTATAAGGAATTCACAACAAACAGTAATAATCGGGGGAATAAAGGCGTTCATTTGATACTAGCTTCTGCTAGCGGCTTCGAAGTTCGAGGTACCTACCCAGGTCTAACGTAGCCTATGTGCTATTTCAGACTTTAATCTATCTTTATATAACAACTCTTAGTAGATGTGCATGCCTCCCTTCCTCTACCGGGAATAAAAAATAATAGAATATTTTTTCTCCTGTGTCGTGAGTGCGTTTACAAAACATACAATTTACACACAATACACATTACACCCAGACCCGGAACAACAATTTGTGGATCCTGTGCCTGTATAAAATTGCGTTTACAAACATCTTAATTCACATACACCAATCACACCTAGAAAAAAACTTTTTGGATCTTACACAGAGTTGTTCCGTGCGGGAATCGAACCCGCGACACGTTGCGCGGCAGCCAGTTGCCCAGCGACCGCGCCAACCATGCAGTCAGTGAATTCTATGGATGTGATCTTTTATTGACCAACGCCATTTTAGATACGTCAGTATTAGGCCTATTTAATCTTTTCAACACAATCTCCTTTGAATTTCGTAAAAAACAAAAAAGAATGGGCTATAATTTTATTATTATAATTTCAATCGCAGTGCCTAAATATAGAATCAAGATGACATCATAGGTATGTCTATTATTTAGCAAAACATTATTTTTGATGAGCACAATCCCGATGTACCTCATTCATCGCATCACGCGTGACCGATTGGACTAATTTCTGAACTTTTTTGTTTGCCATTTTAATTGTATATTTTTTTACCTTCGACCTGCACCGGTTTCTCGTGTAATGCAGTTACTAAATTTCTTTACTATTAAAAGATGTTATCATACCTACATAAAGCCAACGCAAGCGCCAAGTGTATTGGTGGTCGCAGGTGCTGGCTGCTCTGCGTGGTGAGTGCACCGCGGCGCGACGCCGATACACCAGGCACCGCAAGCTCCGTATCCGCCCTCTGGACGCTGAAACCAGAGAGGCGGAGCTATACGAGGAGTACAGGGCTGCTAAGGCCACCCTCAGGGTGGAGATCCGGCGGGCCAAAGATCGGGCCCGCGAGGAGATGTTGGAGACTCTGAACGGATGGTGCGTGATAAGCTCCGCACCTGGGCGCCCTCATTGACTCAGAATCTCCGGCCGGAGGTCGTGGACGAAGAGGTTGGGGCCTCCCGCCCAGGGCCGGGCGGGAGGGAGTGTCAGACTCTTACTGACTAAAAACCCCCCTGTTCCTTCTCCTGCTCTGGGCCGAGGTCGCGGTGCCTCATTGCGCTTACCCCGCAACCCCGGCTGAACATCAGCCCTTTAGGGCCCCGTCTGTGGTGGTCTAATGGCTCTTTAAGGCGCGCGCGGGGACGCTACGCGCCGTACACTCGGGCCTGGTTCTGGTCGGGCGGCGAGCTGCCCTTACTCGCCGGCCGCAGGCCCGTGCTTACGGTGATCGTCCCTTGATCCCCGACGCCCGTAGTGTCGCCAGTTGCGGCTGCTGGGGCGTGAGAAGGAGGATTGCTCCCTCACGCGGGCCGCCTCTCTCTTTGCGAGCATGACTGCTTCACAAAAGGAGGAGACGCTGTCCCAGTTCCTCTCACTCCGCATCATGGCCTCGACTAAGGCCGGGCGCGAGAGGTCGCCGCCGCCGATCACTTCCCTGAGGATACGGCGGTGCTCAACCCAGGCAGGGCATACCGCTACCGTATGCTCCACCGTATCCTCTAGGTGGTCCTCACAATGACGACTCGGGGCGTTAGCCAGAGTCTGCGGTGCCACATTGCGCCTACCCCGCAACCCCGGTTATGTATAAGTAACGTTTAGTTAATACATGTGTATTTTATTCTGAATAAAATCTAATCTTGCATCTTAAAATTTTAAAGCAGATGACTTCAATCGATTGAGTTAATGGTTGTATGATCATAAATGCTGAGCTGTGTGACTTTAAATGCATAATCATGTCTTTTAAGTCTCCCGAGTGTGAGTGCCGGAACTTATTGGTCTTTTTATTTTTTTTCTTTTTATTTATTTAACTTTTTTATAAAAGTTATTAAGATGAAATATTTTCAATATGATATTTACTACCAGAAACGTAAAACTAACTGCAGTAACAATTAAGTCAGCTGTGTAGGTTACAGGGTACGAGTCTATTATGATATTTTCTTTTATAGTTAAAGAAAATAGCAAAGCAATAAATATAATATATAGCTAATATGCTATATATAGCAAAGCACCATTCCAATTCAAAAAATCGTTGGGATTGAACCGGAACCTCCTTGTTCTTGATATAGGTATCGTGGCCCGGCTTGGAACACGAGTTAGAACGGGGTGGTTTTTCTATACTAATATTTTAAAGAGGTAACTTGTGTAAGTTTGTAAGTTGGTATGTAGGGGGTAATCTTTGGAAACGCTGGTCGGATTTCCAAAATCCTTTCACTGATAGATAGCTACAATATTCCTGAGTGCTATAGGCTATAAAACATAACGCTACGATCAAATGGAGCCGAGCAGCGGGTGACACCGCGCGAGAATAGCTAGTAGTCAATAAAAATGTCACTCCCTCTCAGCCTACTTTGGGCAGAAAAACCCCTAACTTACCACGCTACCATCCACTCGACCTAGAAGGCATCCGTGTAAAAAAACATTTAATTCAGTTTCAGGCTTCAACATCATAATTTGCATAAAAGGTCGGTCTGTGATTGAATACTATTTCGTTACTTTTTTGCTGTTAATCAGAGTTCATTCATAATATAATAGTTATATAACTGACCTTTGAAATTTCGCTGGTATAAGAAATGTTACAACAATAGCCGAGTACTTTTGATAACGATAGCTACTGGTTAGTTAATATTTCTGGGTTTTGTCTTGCAAAAAATTCTAATAAGTATCTACCAATTTTTAAACATCATATAATGTCAACACGAGGCATTTTTGAAATTCCCATCGACAGAAAACGCACATGTCACAAGAAAAACTATTGTGATGGATACATTAAAAACATCTGTATGCTCGTACAAAATCTTGGGCGGAAACCGTAGTAGGAAGAAATTCATCGCATAGGTACAGTTTACAATGCTATGAATTTCTTTGTGCCTTATTCAAAGAGGAATACTTGGAAGTCCATCATTCATAACGACCTTAATATAGAACAAAGCCATCAAATATTCAACGCTACCTGGTGTTATGAAGTAAATAAAATTAAAAACAACGAAAAAAGACATATATTATACCTACACGGCCTACACCTACATGGTCGATTTATTTATTTACATTCTCATGAAAAAAATAAGAAACAAAATACTTGTGTATTGTCCTTAAAACAATAGGGGCACGTGCTCCTATTAAAGAAATATACTTTTAACCACCATATAATATCGTAGATTCGTTTTTAACCAACGTGTTTTACTCCATTTAACGATACCATTTAGTAGACTTACGAATGCGTTGCCTTTTGAGATTAGAATACTGGAAACAGATAGGGGGAGAGGAAGGATTAGGGTTCCGGTCACCTCATTCGGACATGTCCGCCATAACCTCCCATTATAAGCCAAGCTCTATAAAGTAGATGTATGAAATCCTTTTTGGTAACGATAGCGGTGTTCGTATAAGTATTTCCATAGACTACAGTCCCAGAGTAGGTACCTCTGTGATAGAAGGACTGCTTGTATTGCCATTCCGCTGTCGAACATTGGCACTATAATGTAACAACAATTTAAATGTAAAATAATTAATTTGAAGTTATGGTAACTCCAAATTAATTATTTTACATTTTTTACAGCCAATAAGAAATTGGGTAACAAAGTGATCCACTACATACTCTGTCTTTTCCGGCCCCTTATGTAAAGATTACTTGATATACAGCTCTTTAAAAAGTATAAAAATTAAAAAAAAAAGCAAAAAAGACATTTTTAAAGGCAGGCCCAAAAATTTGTTTGCCTAAGTTAAAATTTAATTACCTATTTTTGCCTGGCGCTAATTTAATTACAATTTAATTATTGCAAGCGCAGTGTATAAATTGATTACGTGGTAATTACGGAAACTGATTGTCAAGGTAACTAATTAACTAATAAGATAATTATAAATTAAGGTTGTATAGCGAATGGTTCTATTTTACAGATGTTGGTAACTACGGCTAACGACTAGGGTAGTATAGTATTTAAGTTTTTAATAGACTTTTCACTTCTACTCAGAATAAATTTAAATAAAAATTCTTAAAAAAAAACAAATTTTTATCGGTCACGGCACGGGACTAAACACTTTGAGCTTAGCATTTATGATAATGCAAACTTGACTTGTCTAAGTGATTTCAGCTCAATCGGTAGATGATATTAGCATCAACATTTTGTTGCACTTGCAAGATTCCACTTCACAAATATACATACAATGTAAATCAAATAAAAGCTTAAAAAAATAAGAGATTTCTTTTTATTGTTCAATGAACAAACTTGGTTTCTTTATTCATTGTTATATTCTGTAAAATTCTCAAATAATTGAATCAGGATTATAATTCTATATCAGAAACACGTCAATATCGCTTTAAACGTCAAACTACATATAACATGTGTGAAGAATGTGTGTGAAAGGTGAATGAAGAAAAACTAGAGGTTGACCGAAGAAGAGATTATGAGAAAGAGAAATAAGTGATAGGGTTTCGTAAAAGGTAGAATAAAGAAAGAAAACATTTTGTACCGAATCCATAAGATAAGGATAGAAACAAAGGCTTTCCAATATTTAGAACGTAAACATTCAATTTTGGATATCCAAGGAATTAGGAAAACAGGTAAAATTAATGACATCTAGCATTATTTTAAAGGCATTTATTCGTTCGCTTGCGTTAAAAAATTATATTTACAGCATCATCATCGAGTGTATCAAACATAACAAAATTATTGCGAAAATTAAATAGTCAACATAATATTAGATATTTACAACAATCGTATGGTAGGACAGAACTTATTCCTTGTCATCATAATGGCTATCATCGTCGTCGTCGTCATCGTCATCGTCATTAGCGAAAGCGTATTCCTTACCATGACTACTGCCTCCCTTCTTACCGAAATCAGCTTCGTTATGATAGTGACTTTCATGACCATCTTCAGCAGAATGACCCGCTTCAGCATCATTAATGTGACCCTTGGCGTGGAATCCAGATTTTCCGAACTCTCCTTTCTTAGACGCTGAGTCATGATGACCTCCCTCCTTGTGGCCACCTTCTTCGGATCCATGATGCTCGTTCTCATGTCCATGCTTGTTGAAGTGCCCGCTCTTGTCGGCAACGTCGTAGAAGTCATGGTCCTTCTTGAACTCGTCCTTGTGGAATACCTTGTGGTATCCAGTGATGTCTTCTCCTTTGCTGAAGTGCTTCTTGTGTCCATGATCACCACCCTTGTAGCTTTTACCTCCTTTATAATGCTTGCCATGTACTGCGGCCTCGTCATGATGTCCCTTCTCGCCACCTTCAGCTTCTTTGTAATAGCCTTCGTCGTGTTTCTTACCATATTGTCCAGCTTCACCCTTAGCATGATGATCCTCTGTGTGGTAGCCCTTACTTCCCTTTTCCCCATGAGCCGAGTGGTGCTTTTCACCATAATTGCTGCCACCACCTTTTGCGAAAGCATGTCCATGATCGTGTCCACTGTATTCTTCTGAACTTTCACTGTCGTCGTCATCATCGTCATCATCATCATCTTCAGCATCTTCAACAACGATGGGCTTAGCAGCCACATAAGGCAGGGGTACGGGAGCGAGGTCGAGGGCTTCAATAGCTCCGAATTTAGGTTGAATGATGGGCAGGGGCGGCGCGAAAGCGTTGTGAGGCGCATGGTGGATAGGTGCAGGTGCTCCCAGCTGGATGTAGCTCGCCGGGCCGTTGTTGTCGCTCCTGTAGATGTAGCTGGTGGCCGCCGGAGGCACGAAGGCCACCTGCACCGCCGCCACTGCGGTCGCAGCCAGTAGAATGTACAAAGCTGTGGTAGCCATGTTGAGATGTGTATCGTTCTACAACTCGATCTGTTATAATTTGATTAGCCCGTTGCTCAATATTTATATCTAGGCTAGAGACAAAGGTCCGTGAGTGTGTTGGCTACCTTTCTTGTAGCCATGTAACAAATTGCTTATCAGACGAGGTTATAGGTGACAAAGACGCTGTTAATGAAAAAAATTGGCTATTGTGCAACTTGTGGGCAAGCCGACCGCACTGTTAATAAGCGTGAAATGCTTTTTTTTTATAAATGAATCACCGAGACTTGATTCAATTAGTTTCATTGACCGTATGTAACTAATGGGACTATGAAAGTTCTGTATTATATAGTATCTGGATATTGTGTGGTCGTTTATGTTGTGAAAAGAGAATAATGTTTGTGTACATAAGTAGAAAGCATGTAGAAATAGTTCGCTTTATAGTTGATAATCTAAATAAACATAATATATTTATATAATTTAGTTGTGTTGTGGAATAGTTAAACATACAACATCCTTATCTATCTGGACTCAAGTATCAAGACTCTGTTCCAATATGCGTTTTGAGTAGGTACGAGTTTGTAAAACACAAGAAGAAAAGATTCATAAGCTTCTGCACGCGTCTTCACTCGCGATTTCAAAGTAGAAATTAGCCTTTATATTATTCCAGACTATATCTATCTCCGTGCCCAATATTATTCCGGTGAAAGGGTAACAATAGATCATCTATAGGTACGTCCATACTTACAAACTTTAGCGTTGATAATATAATAGCTTCCGCCCGCGGCTTCGTCCGCGTGGTATGTTGATAAAAAGTAGCCTATGTCCTATTCCGGAGTGTATCCTATGTCTGTGCCAAATTTCATCCAGATCCGTAAAGCCGTTTTGGCGTGACTGAGTAACAAACATCCAAACATCGTAAGTTTTGTATTAAATAAGAAGTAGAATATTAATATTTGAATGGCCTCTATATAGTAAGTATTATTCGTACATACCATATTGTTATACTCGACGACACTAGGTTAACGAAACAATGACTGCACCTGGAATTGACGCGGTGGCTCGGCTACCGGCTGCCGAACATGGTGTCGCGAACTCGATTCCCTCAAGAACCAACTCTGAGTGATCCACAATTTGTGCCAGGTCTGGGCGTGTAGCTACGCGATGCGATGTGTATGTGAAATTGTATGTTTGTAAAGTCACCCAGATCCAGATCCAGATACAGGAGAAAAGAAGAGATTAATTTCAGAAGTAATTTCCACATATTTTTTAGATCCAAATATTTTTAATGTTTTTTTTTTCTTGACTGTACGAGTATGTGATCTTACTAAACATTAAAGTATTTTAATTCTTATTTTCGACCCAACCTAACTTTTGGATTGGCACCCTGGACGATATAAGGATGCCAACGATATTCTTTAAGCCTAATTCTGCCCAGACGTAGGCGTTATGAAGTTACAGTGTAACAAATGAATAAAGAAATTCACATACACACATGGAGTTTGCAAACATACCTAACTCTCCTTTTTTGGGCAGTGGTAAAATGCAAAAGCCTAATTAATCTTAATCTTTGTCACTTCTAGACTCTTACTGAAATAATCGAATTATCTTTCAATCAGGCACTTTTAAAAGCTTTTATTTAGAGTAGTTTTATCATCCTTTTATTTTTCTTTCTAGTGGTATGTTGCTCGCCGTCCGTGTTTCACTGCAGGGGTGCAAGCAGAAAATCATTGTCGGGTGCTCAATGAACCTTTTTATTTCTTTCTTTTTTATTTCTTTTAGTTTCTAAATAATTTAATTTATATGGTCTTCTTTATGTTTTCTCCTAACATTCTGACATTCCCTCTCGCCCCACAGCAAGAGAAGTCATTGGATGAACTTCCTTGTCAAAAAAGGACATCCGCTAGGACAAGACAGTCGTCCTTGTCCCTGGGACGCGCCCGACTTCAGTGTCCATGTGTTTTCATGGTTGTATCTATTGTAAATCTTGGCTTACCTTCAGGCCTTGCAGCGGTTTGGGAGGTCGTGGCGGGCTTGTCTGATGATTAATCAACCCCAGCTTATCATCAGCCCTATAGGGAAGGCAGGCAGGGCAGGCCCTATAGCAGGTCTGTAGTGGGCTATTATCTACTAGGATTTAAGGCGCACGTGGAACCAGTTTACCACTGCACTGAGTAGTACATGTTAATAATGAACTTCTAAAGCTAGTTATAGTGGAAAATTATAGTATATTTTATCTATTATCAAATCCTCATTTACCATCAATGCATTCATTCATATCACCATAATAATATCTAAGACAACTTGAGGTCTGATCAAGCAAGCGCAATACTTGACGTTCCGCAACCCAGCCAGGACCAGGAGAAGGAAAGGAGTCGATTTTAGCCAGTAAGGGTTTGACATTCTCCCGCCCACCCAAGACCACCTTTCCGTGACTATATCAAACATAACAAAAAAGAATTGTCAAAATTGGTCCAGGCGTTATTAAGTTATGCGCTTATCAACACATTTTGTAATTCATTATTATTTATAGGGAACATAAATAGATTGTAAATCGAATCATGCAATAAAATATTGCAGATTTATTTAACGAAATTAGTTGAAATTGTGTATACCTACACGTTTAGTTACCATGACCATAATTGCAGTGGTGTGTTTTCTAAATACATAAACGCCTTCAGTTTTGGGGACTTATGTGTACTACCTAATAAAAGCTCACACAAAAAAGGTTTTAAATTTGAATTTATTTTACATACCTATTATTTTATTTAGTTATTGCCTATTTTGTGTGCAATGACTCAATTAAATACTGCTCGAGCTAGGTCAAGGTTGAAATCAACAGAGCAACGTGATTCCAACTTACCACCTCTTGCTCGACAGCCCGTTCAGTGCTTTTCTGGAATCCTATTAAAAATATTTGAGTGTCTGTTTGTTATTTAAATAGGCTATACGGTGTGTTAGGTTAAATGAGGGACATATACAAGGACCCGATTCTGGTGCTTAAATAAAACAACTCGTTCAATAAGATCAATATCTACCTACTATTACCTGATGGTAAGCAATCGGCGCCGCCTATGGACACCCGCAACACCAAAGTAGTTACGAGTGCGTTGCCGGCCTTTTGGGGATGGGGGTTGCGGATATAAGGATTGGGAAGGGATAGGGGAAGGGGAGGATTGGCCCTCCGATAACCTCACTCACACGGCGAAACACAACGCTGTGGGTTGTTTCACGCCGGTATTCTGTGAGGTCGTGGTATCACTCCGGTCGAGCCGACCTATTTGTGCCAAACACAGAACAGAAAACTAAGTAGAAGTGCCCCTACACTCTTTCAAAAGGAAAACCAGTGTCGCCAAAATCACACATTCGCAAATCAAATTGTGCATTACACACATTAAAAACAGCTATATAATTGGGTAAAAAGTTGAAACGCAACTTTAGCAAAACATCTTCAAAATGTTGTTAAAAATTGAGTCTTATAACAATGAGCGAAAGTTGTTATCATTTCACGTGTCACAATCAATAAGGGCGTCTATCGTGTAAAAAACTTAAATAAAACTATTTACAAACGGGTTCAGCCACTCAACGCTAGATGGCGCTGTAACAAATTCATTCTATTCAAAACGCTAACTTTTTTGAAATAGATGTCATATTTGTATGCACTTGTACCAATAGACATTTACTATTTTGCTACTCAGATAGGGCAGGGTATCCCAATATATCGATGTTTTTGTATTCGTGTGAGCAATATAATTTATCGACACGATATACCTACAAATGATCAGTAAAGAAAAAGGTTCTAATAGAAAAAAAGAAAAATATTAACATATTTTTTGTAGATTTAATGTTTTTTGGAGATGGTCAAGTTATTATTAAAGATTTTGATTTTAACATATAAAAGCACTACGCGCTCCTACAAGTTTTATCTCCTTTCCAACTAAAATAGAATCATTAAAATCGGTTCATAAATAACGGAGACGAAAAAACAAAAAAAAATGTTACAGTCGAATTGAGTCACTCTCCTTTTTGGAACTCTGATAAAAATCATGTACCTACAACATCTATACTTGTAATAAATCTGTAGAGGGGTTAATTCTGTACATTAAATATATTTTCAAAATAACTACCAGGGGGTGATTAGTGATCGATACTGATGCCAAAAATGCAATCAGTAAAAATTTTGTCTGAATGTCTGTCTGTATGTTCTTTATAGAAACAAAAACTACTCGACGGATTTTAACAAAACTTGGTACAATTATTCTTTATACTCCTGGGCAGGTTATAGGATACTTTTCATCACGCTACAAATAATAGGAGCAGAGCAGTGAAGAAAAATGTTGGGAAAACGGGAGAAGTTACTCCCTTTTGTAAGTTTCAGTCGCGTGTGTAACGTACGGTGTATAATGTAACGTAACGTGGACGGACGAACTGCGGAGACTTAGTAAGTAATAGGGTATTTACCCATTGGAGATGTACGCATAAAAATGAGACGATAAATACCAAATTTTATGTATACTTAGATTTTGTTCTATTCAACACAGCACGCGGGCGAAGCCACTGGTGAAAACTAGTTATAAAATAAAAATGGTGATTAACCACCCGCACCTGCCACAGACGGATGCACGCTGTGTGTGGTTAAAACGTTGATGTGTCTATGCAATCTTAGTTAAACATTTATGAATTATACACAAAAATTGTCAAAGATCAATTTTCTGAACGATGATAATGAAAAATTATCGATATGAACCTATTTTACGAATATGTCGCATCCCTAAATGAGTAGCGTCGAAACTACTAGAATGTATTGTATATAACGTCACATAACGAACAAGTAGATTTAAACTTAATTGTAATGAAAATAAGGCCCTTTATAGTTTGCATCGAAGTAATGAAATGTGATATTTACAATGACGTATTATATATAGACACGTCATGAACCAACATCGCGGCGCTTAAAAACGGCGAAAATACTAGATAACTACTTCTACGAGTAAAGAAAGGGAAAGAAAATATGACATCGTATAGTGGAATGCCTTTGCTAGAGGGAGATAAATATACATCTTCAGTTATGCCGACGTCACGTGACTATACCTTCATGCGCCGGCCGCCATAAGATGGCGGGCGCCGGCGTCGAAAAAAATAAAATAAAAATAGGTTGTTTGGTGAACTTACGCATGAAATGACACATTTTTGTCTTTAACTTTTGGAGTATAATTTGTACATCGTCTGAACACACACGACGACATGCTTTCTTTATGTTTCAAACAAGTTTACACACGATATAAATTAAAAACAAACGTAGCGTCGCGCGGCAGGTTTGTGCGTAACTAAGCGCGATGTGGTCAATTGCCTTCATTTCATGTTGTCATTTTAGAGCGCGGACAACGTATCTATAGTTTTATACATCATTGGATATTTACATTAAAATCAAATATATTTAAAATTAACAAAGGTTAATACTCAAAGATGATACGATACACCACCACAAGACTCATCTTTTTTTCTGCTTACTTTTTGCAGTTGAAAACCGCACAACAAGGCATAATTTCTAATATATTTCGTGTTTCTTAGAGACAACCATGACAACCAATCATCACAACGGATCGAACGATTCTAACAACAAATGTGCCAAAATGTTGTATATCTAGTCATCATGTTGGTTAGCGCGCGATGTCTGAGCGGCACTTCCACTGTATTTTCTATTCCGTGGTGCCAAAGCATGGCTCTCCCACACTTATTGCGTTGCGGTATCATGTTGCGGTTTGTATGGGGACATGGATTTATTTTTGAGATTTGGATATTGGTCCCATGGAAAAAGTTGATGTAATTGAGCACAAAAATCGGCTCCTTCAATAAGTCCCTTTCTTTGTTGGGAAGCTACACACACTACACAACATAGGCTATAAAAATATAAATGCGGTAAAACCGCGGAGTACAGCTAGTTTTTATTATAATACACTAGCGACCTGAACCCGGCTTCGCACGGGTGCAATGCTAAAACTAAAAATCTCCACAATTTAATGGACGTTATTATACAAGTAAAACTTCCTCTTCAATAACTCTTCTCAAATCCGTTGCGTAGTTCTAAAGATACTTAAGCATGCATAGGCATATAGGGACAGAGAAAGTGACTTTGTTTTATACTATGTAGTTAAGAGTACCTACTACTGATGTACTTGAAATTTAACTTTTTATAATACTCTTCACACATGATCAGATCGTCACACCTGATCATGTACGCGGGGCAAACTTGGCCGGAGATCGCTCTAGACAGAGAAATTTGGAAGGAAAAGGGGAAGCCTTTGCCCAGAAGTGGGACACACGATAGGCTATAAAAAAAAAAAAATAATATTCAGCCCCGTTTCCATTTCCTCCGGTCGCTAGAGTCGCGGGCGTGTATACAATGATATAAATTCATCTTACCTAGACCGAAAATATCTATTTGTAGACCACAATCAATTTGTAAAGAAAAGTGCCATGCAAGAATCGAACGTGAGACACGTTGTGCACGTGCCAGTTCCCCAGTTATTGTAAAGTAGTAGAAAGCACCCTATACTTTTAGAATTGAATTTTATTGCAATTTTAATTCAGTTAGGTTTCCAATTATAATTATATTCCTTGCCTGTGTCTGTTATATTCATTATTTATTTCAATTCTTAGTTTCAATTTGTCCTGAGGAGTCGAATTGTTCTGTGTATATTACATATCCTGTAATTTTGAAGTTGCTTTTATAAATTTGTGCATGATGTGCTTACCTGTAACAGATTATTTTTTCTTTTTTATAAAAAAAAAAACGTTGCCCCACACTAGGATTTTGTTCTGGGACGTAGGTGCGGTTACAATATCACATACACATGACATCCAGACCCGGAACAACAATTTGTGGATCACACAGAGTTGTTCCTTGCACGGCAGCCAGTTGCCCAGCCACCGTACCAACCGTGCAGTCCTATAGATTGATACATCTGATCTGAATTGATAGAATGTAACCCATAAATTGATTGAGCGTACTCAATTGTTGGTGAGCCATTTAAAAATAAATAAAATAAAAGGGTATCTTCAATGATATTTTATTAACACAGATATGTTATACGCTCACAAAAAGCACGAAAATAGTGTTTCGCGCCAAGCGTCAGCACACTCACATACCTTTCATTATTTTTACATGTCACTACAGGTTAAAATTGTAGAAAAAGGAAAGTATGAAAAATAAAACAGGAAAAAACCAATTAGCTATTGTTATTAATTACGTACTCAACGTAAACAAACATTATTTTAAGAGAATCTAATTGCACTTGCATACAATTGTATCCTTTTCGAGTCTTCACTTTTGCGCGCCTATAATATAGTATATCTGTTAATATATAATATCATTGGGTATCTTAAATTAAACACAAACACAAACTAATAGGAAATCTGTTATTGCCTTGGATGACAGATAAGGCAAACGAAAGAAGGTATAAGAAAAAGAATTGGGAATCTCGAATAGCCTAAAACTTAGATGAAGAGGTTTTAAATACATTCAGTAGGTATTTACCTATTTCTGGATTTGAGAACAACATAACCTAAAAAAAACATCGCATACATCTTGAAAAGATGTAGACAAGCTTCTATATATTTTAAAAATTTGAAATAAAAAGATATACACAGGCTTATAGAAATATTATTAATATTTACTAGCTTCTCTCGCGCGGTTCACCTGCTGCTCGGCTCCTACAGATCATAGCGTGATGTTATATAGCCTAAAGCGCGTTCATACAAACTCTTCAGCTTTATAATATAATCTATAGGATATTAATGATTTATTAGTATAGATTGAAGTTTTTCATTGTCTTTGTATAAAGGAATTCTAGTCGGATAATGATGAAAGATAAAATGTGGTGGTGGCCCGAAGGTTAAGGAGCCCGCTTCTCATACATGAGGGTGTGGGTTCGAAACCCGGCAAGTACCAATGTGACTTTTTCTGAGTTATATGTACTTTCTATGATTATTTAGACACCACTGACATACGGTGAAGGTCAACATCGTGAGGAAACCTGGACTTATAATTTCTAATTATAAGTTTGAAATCGCCAACCTGCATTGAGCAAGCGAGGTGATTAAAGCTCTAACCTTCTCCGTGTGAGAAGAGGCCTTTGTTCAGCAGTGGGCACTTATAGGCTGATGATGATGATGATGATGAATGATGAAAGAGAATAAAATACGAGTGCCAAGTTAAAATTAAGTACCTAGGTTATTTGGTAGGTTATTTAAGTAGGTATACATAAAATATATACGTGCCCACTGAATTTAAGTATTTTGATTTATTATTATTATTTTGCTTCCAACTTGCTGCTGCAGTAACATTACCCTAAATAAACAAACACGTTGTCATCCGCATTTTCGTCTGAAGTCTAAACAATGAGAATATTCTTTTAAAACATACCACAGTCCACATTCCATACTAACTGCACAATGGATAAGCTGTTATAAATTAAAATATGTATAAAGTACGTTATTTAATTATAACAGTCACCAACAAAATAGCTGAAATAGTTCAAACGAAATAAAAACAAATAAATAAGTTATGGCTTACATTTTATCTAAAAATACACATATTTACAAAAAGATACATTAGGAAACAATCAACAAAACTATAACAAATATCACCAACGTTGTCTCAGTGCTTGACTTCGAAGCCGTAGCTCTTGCCTGCGTGCTCTGCACCTTTAGCGCCGAAATGTGCTCCGTGATGGTGGTGGGACTCTCCCCCAGCCTCTGAGGAGTGCTCTGCGCCATGTTCATCTCCGGACTCCTTGTCAACAAATCTTCCCTTCCCGAAACCTTTCTCGATGTGCCCTGAATCATGAGATCCTCCTTTCTCGAATCCGCCGGCCGCTGATCCATAGCTGGCGTGTCCGTCTGCATACTTGTGGTGGTTGCCTTTGACACCTTCTGCATCATAAAAGTCATGGTCCTTCTTGAATTCGTTCTTGTCGAAGACCTTGTGAAATCCATCGACCGCTTCTCCTTTGCTGTGATCAGCCTTGTACCCATGATCTCCTCCTTTATATCCATGCCCTTGAGCGTAGTGCTTCCCGTGAGCGTCGGCTTCGTCATAGTGGTGCTTCTTTCCTCCCTCTTTAGATACTGCAAACCCATCGTGCTCCTCAGAGTGGTAATTCCCTGCATCCCCTTTCTCAAAATGATTTTGTTTTCCAAACCCTTCATGCCCTTTTTCCCCATAACCATGGTATCCTTTCAAACCATAATCCTTTCCACCTCCGTACCCATGGTAAATACCATGGTCAAAATGACCTAATCCGTGTATATAATCTGAGAAGTCGTTTTTGTATCCCGATCCATATTTTTTCGCGTATTCCTCGAAGATCTTATCATAGTTTTCGGCCGCTATCCCATCAATGTGATCGTCATGTTCGTCTATATTCTCTTCAACAGGTTTGACATGCTCTTCTGTCGCATCTGATGCAGCTTTGTCTTCATCTTCCTCCTTTGCGTAAAATGGGCCTGCAGCGGCGGGAAGCGGCGCTTTATATGCCTCAGGCTTGGTATACAGTTTAGAAAAATGTTCAATCACTTCACTCTCACCCATTTTGACAACGCTCGCGGGACCGTCACTTTCTTTCTTGTAAATGTAGCCGGTGGCTGCCGGCTGAAGGTCAGAGCCCGTGGTTCGGACCATGACCATTCGTTCTACCGTCTCCCGCATCTCCATACAGGAGCCGTAAGCAAAAAGTAACAATAGCGTGGCGATTTTTCGCGCCATACTTTCAGCAATAAAGTCCGTTATAATAATGACGACAAAGGTCAAGTGTAGCATTTATATAGTGAACATAATACTGTATCGATCATTGACATTCATAAATGGGCCGACTCGAGAGCGCTCTCTAGATTGGGCAATGGTCTTCTGTGTCAATGATAATGAAAAACCCTGTATTAATTTGTACGGTGCATTGCTGCGCGTTCGATCAGACGTAGAGTATAAAAAAGATATTGTATCGGCCACTGCGCACTTTGGCGTCAGACAACCACGAAATGTGACCTATACTACACTTAAAGAACAGGAGTTCTAACATTAAAACAAATTATGAGGAATACGAGGACCTACACTTAAAGAACAGGAGTTCTAACATTAAAACAAATAAATCCCTTTGAATACGAGCACTGTTTTCACGTGGCGAACATGCCGCAAACTGACTGTTTTTACGAACGCAGTTGTAATATTAGGTTGAAAATGAAACTAAGTAAGTTTATGAAAACGAAAATCATATTTATTTTGAACACCTTCCACATTGAATTGAACAGGAGGCAAGTATTCAATAAAAAATATAACACAGTAGGTACTTATGAAACAAGTTGCGGTTTGTTTGCGAATTATTTCACACTGCATTGTTTAGGATTACTAACTAGCAAATATTAATTAGTTTGAAAGTTGTGTGTACACAGAGGTATTATTCAGAGACACATGTATGTATAGTACAAATCAATGCTTCCTGTAGCTAGCAAAGTTTTTAAGCTTCTTATGGAGTTTCGGGGCGTTGCCACCCTTTTTAGGCTTTTGTTGGGATGCAACTTCAAAGTCGTCATCGAAAGTAAGACGTTTGTTTTTGTTATTAAAGGTGTTACTACTGTTATCCTCCATGGACCTCAGTAACATAAAACCTTCTTGCTGGTCCAGTGTTTCAGGGTTCATTCGGTAAAACAAAGCATACGGTGTTTCTTTTGGTTCCATAGCAGCGCTTTCTTCGAGGCTTCCGACCCTTGGTAGCTCCATATTATTTCTATGCGAGTTGCCCTTACTTTTATCTTTACCGATATACTTCCTCATATTGTCCGATACAACACTTCGTTTACTTTTCTCGAACACGTCAAAACCTTGCTTGTTCGTGGCATCCCTCTTTCTGTATTCACCCTTTTTATGTCGCCTATCGGCAATTTGTTGTGTCATATCGTCAAGAACTCGGGACATTACTTGCTTGTTATGATCGTGAACTGCATTCGCTTTGTGTAAAGTTTTATCCATCATCATGGATGTTGGCATCCTCTGACGATTGTCTTGTTGAGGTTGTTGAGAACGGACCGCTAAGGAAGTCATCTGACGATTATTGTTCATTTTCACAATTTTCTGGGAATCAGCCACCTGTGCCTTTCTCACATTCATTTGAACAAAATTGGGTTTAGCTTCAAACACGTTATCTTGATTTCTTTGATTGCGTTGTTTCATTTGGGCGCTATAATCAGCGTTGACTGCTTTCGGCCTGATTGGTTGGATTTGCTGACTGGTTGTAGGCATCGTATGTGGAGCTGCTTCCTGGAGTTTACCAGCACTGAATTCCCCTCTTAGGACAGGATTATGAGAAGTCTGTAAATTCTGCTGATCTTGTTGTTCGGATTTTACAGGGTTGATTACCTGCTGGTTCTGTGCTCTTTGTTTCCATTGCTTAGGCGGCTCTGTGACTTTATAATCCTCTTTTTTAGGTGCGCCATTATTACTTGCATCATGGGTTCGGGCCTTCCCAGCATCGATCGTCGACATCATTGGGTACTTCGGCGGAGTCTTCATAATTTTGAAATGCGAATCTACCACGTGCTCGTTATTAATTTTCTGGTACTTTGAGCTGTAAGATCCTGTGTATTGTCTATTCCCATTGCCACCGAATCCAGTTTTCACGTAAGCACCAATACTGTTTTCTAAAGCGACGAACCCTGTGCTAGGGTTATCGTCATAAACGTAGTACATTAACACAGGAGAGACTGAGTTAAAATAAAGAAATGCGCTTATTATATTGAACAATATCTTCATCTTGATCGTTCGATACTAACTGCTGGTGGCTACTGCATTGTTCTTATACATTTTTTGCTCTCCTATTACCCCTGTTTACTTTCAGTATACAGTTGTAAACAAATTAAGTCGCTGGCTTGACTCACAAAGTATTCAACAACAACATTGTTGCAGGGTTAACACAATACATTTTCACTGACCGCTGTTAATTAAAAAACTAAATTAAACTCAAAGTGGATCTGTTTAATTTTTTTTCAAATAGTTGTAAAATATTTGCATATAAAACTTTCTGTTATTGGTCAAAATAAGTCCAGGTTTTCACATACTAATATATTAAGCATTTCAATTCCAACTCGGTATCTTACACGTTCGCCAGTGCGATTGCTTTAGCGTCATTAGTATATCTGATATATATGTACAATATCATATGAGATGGAGCGGCAAATGAGAATATGGATCTCCTGATGCATTAATATCGCCTATAGACAACGCAACGCCAGACGAGTAGCGAGTGCGTTGTCGGATTCGGATTTAAGGAGATAAACGATCGATGGAGCCTCCTGTTTCCTTACCCACACGGCGTTAATTCGAACACAACGCAAGGTTCACGCCGGTTTCAAGTGAGGCCGTGTTATCACTCTGGTGGAGTCATTTGAGCCGAATTATGGCTCTCCTACACTTAGTTCACTTTTCCATTACATTATACTTATGCACACACATCTAATACACTGAGGCAATGAATTATGATAACAAAAGGATTTTAAAACGAGATATGAGAAAAGCCAAAATTCAAAAATAATTTACGATAAGGCCACAATACCATTTTGATTTTTGAATCACAAGACGATCCTGAGGCGACGTGTTAATGAGATCTCTAACTAGAAATTGGTAAATGTGTAAGAGCAACTAATCAGCCCAGATGTTCGTTTCTGAATAATGTTTCATTGTTGCGTGATTTACTCTCATCTCACTTTGACAATGGCTAAATTGAAGAATGGTGTGTAAAAACTGGCAGTGTTGTAAAATGTTATGAGAACGGCTACGGAACTGATTCTCATTGTTACTCTGCCATCAAAGATACATCACAGATAGATGAAACGTAAACATTAGCACAGGAAACGATTTTAAAATGCGTTGCTTTGTCAGAATTGAATGTTCTGCATTAAACACAATATCTCATGCGAAAAGTAGTGCACATCTACATTTCATAAAAAGATAAGACGTTTGCTAAAAAAGATTTGATTTCATAGTGATTTATAAGAGCCTACGAGTACAAAATAATAGAAAATAAAAACTAAGTAATTTGTGGACTACATAAAAATACCAATTAATTGACAAAAGGTGGAACCCTATCGTTTATTAAAACAATAATACAATCATTCTTTGTCATCAAAATAAATTAGTCAATCTATTTTTTTCTCATCATACATTGTTCATCTATGTAAACATAATTTAAAAACACTGAGTAGTTTACATTATGCATTGATTCAGAATCATGTCGCTAGTCGACAGTCCGACGGCCCGACGATAAACACATTACAATGAAAATTATATTGCTCGTCCTGTTGGGTTCCAGCTTTATTTTAACCAATAACGCCCGGCTGATTGAAAAAATAACCGATCGAACATTGACGACCGAAACGAAAACGACAGGATCTTCTCCGCCGGTACGACTCACGAGGGATGTGTTTGATGAAGACACGCTTATTGGATTCTCTAAGGAAGAGAACTTGCAGAGCGATGAATACACGCGAAACTACAACAGAAGAGCGAGGCACTTCTTCAAAGCCAAGCCAAAGACAGAAGCACCACCAACTGCCATCCGAGTACCGAGAGAATCCCACGAAAAGATAGAAAAAGTAACAAAAAATACTACCACCTCATTACATCCTACTCAAGTGAAACCAAAAAATACTCTCGTGAAGAAACCCATACCAAAATACAACGAAATGGATTACGATGATGACTTCCAAATGAAGGTAAGCCGATCGCCGGTGCGTGTAATAGACTCCGGAGAGCACGAAGATGAGGATTTTAACCTCGACGATTATGATTTTGATGTAAATCATGACGAATTCATTGGCAGAGGGAAGCCGCTGGAACCAAGGACCAAGTTGAAGGAAACTAATGAACATCCTCATCACCCATCTGCGAAGCACGAAAGTAAACCTGTACCAGCACCTCATGAAGTCAAAACGCCAACTAACAACAAAGTTCATGCGCCTGCATCACATCGGCCTGCTTCAAACAAAAAGGAACGAGCAGCCGATATCTCACCCAAGAATGTGGTCGAAAAAGATGATTACTACGATGATACCAGTTCTACAAAAGCACCTGAGAAAGAGAAGGCGCGTGATTTGGACGACGAATTTAATGAAGACAATGAAGAAAGCAAAGAGTTCGATGGCAAATCTGCAAGAATGATCAGATCACCATGGAAAGTTAATGCTTATGTTGACAAATTGGGAGAAAAAACGTCTTCAGTAATGAGCAAAGTACTCACCATTTTGCCTATGTTCCCTCAGATGCCAAACAAAAATTCTGGTGAAGCAATTCGTCTAGCGATGAACTCTTAGCTAGCCTGATTTTTTTTTATTTTTGAAATAAGTTAGGTAGGTAACTTATTTTCAGTTATTAGGTTAATGTTTGTACTTGCCTATTGTGAATATTTTATTTAAAATTTGTCTGAATTAATTAGTACATTATTAATTCGGTGGATCGAATTGACTAGTTATATATTAATTATAATTGTGAAATCGTTATTAGCATGGTATTGATTTATTGATCGAATTTCGTAGTTTTGAGTGATGTGAAATGTAATAAAATACAAAATCAGGATGATATATAATATTTTTAATTTAATTTTCATTGCCAAAAAAAGGATTTGTCATGTTTTATATAATTTATTATTTCATTTCTTAATCTATTGTATTATAAAATTATAACTACATTTAATATTACATTATTTATTTAAAAGTTGCATTGTAAATCAACATTATAAAATATTGTTTATTACACAGTTTTCTTTCAAATTCATCCCTTTCATTCAAAACATAATCATTCTAGACACTTTATTCAAATTTTAGCTTATACAAATTGTGAGCTGTTTTATATTTAGCCACAATGAGTTTTGCAAATAAGGGCACTATGATTGCCACATACAAGACCCTTTGTAGTGCCCTAATTTCTCTTAAATAGCTCATAACATTTGCTTAATAAAAAAGATTAAAAGTAGTACTTAAATTAATTTTAACAAATCCAACAATCCTTATTAATATACAACCGCCACTCTCCTTGGCTGTCTTTAGTGTCCGATTTAAGACTACACTCACAGAATGTTATCACTAGAACACTTGTAGGCGTTCATTTTGGAACCTAGCTACCACTGTACCGAACACTTCACTTTACAGTCACGGTAACAGAATGTCTATCTTGGCTCTTCGCTATGGTTCTTCGTTTTCTGCCAAAATGTCGCCCAGACGTTTCGCTGCTAGTCATATCCTATAATGGTCTGCATAATCTGCATCGTTGCTTTGAGCTGTCTGTTTCGCGACATCTATGTATTTATTAAACTTGTTATCTGATGTATTAGATCTATCATGTCCGCTGTAATGATTATTGAATGTAGCGTTATTTGCTTTGCCTGCGTTGCTTGCAGCATGAGATCGGTTCCCTACAGCCGCTGCAGCTTGGGACCGCAAATACGCTTCAGATCCACCAATATGTGCGTTTGAACTAGCTTTGTCCACACCCCGCGTACTGCTATTGTTATTATCATAAAATTCCTTGTCTTCCATATATTCATCCTTATGATAAACCCTGCGAAAACCCTTCCTATTTTCACCTTTATCTTTATTAGTTTCATGAATATAATTTGAATTTCTCTTGTGGTCTTCTGATCCGAATTTTTGCGCAAAATTATCTAGAAAATCCTTAAATCCATTATATTCTGTCGCTTTATTTGCGTACTCAGAATTATTATGATCGCCTCTCGTTACACCATTTTTTCGTGTATCAAATTCATGATTCCGTCTATTGTGTTGCTCAGTTACTGATTCTGCTTGCGAGACTTTATTGTGAGCGTCGTAGTGTGATGTCACTGGACTTATTGTTGTGTAATAGCTGTTATCTATTCGACGACTCCTTCTTGCTTCTTCAACTTCAGGAAAATAAGTTTCGTGATCAAAGTCTCTGCCAATATCTAAACCTTTGAATATTACAGGATCCTCAGCATTATTTTTTTCATAATAATCATTAAGTATGAATGAAAAGAATGGTTCATCAGCTACAATTGGATTGTCTGTCACTTCGTGGTAGTACTTGCGTGGGGGTTCATATGGCTGTGGTGGCACATCATTTTCAATAATTTCTTGAACAGGAATTATACTGTCAAAACCATCCATCACGTAACGTTTGTCTTTCGCTTTTTCTGTGTTCAATGCGTCTCCATTGGTTTCATATTCATACGGACTATGGTAAAAATATGGCCAATTATCATACAAACTTCGAGAACTGCTCCGGACATCATCATCATCCATACTATATTCACTGCTGGCATAGTCTGGCATGATATCCTTCGTCATCTCCGTAGGTGGGCTATAATGCATTATGGACTTCAGTTTCTCAAGTGTATCATCATCCGACGACTTTGAATCTTCGTATTTAGCATCAGCCACAGATTTTGCTATTTCGTAGTCTATTTTCTGTTTAATTATTGAAGGTGTTGTGTAGGGCGCGATGAAGTCTTCGTACACTATCGGCGCTTCGTTTCTCATTTTCTCTAAGGTTCTCGTATCATATTGTGCTTTCACCATGAGTGGGTCGTATGGGGGCAATCCGACGGCAGAATACGTCCGAGGTTTATCAAACTGTCTGTAAGCATTAACTCCACCTTGTAGCGTCGGCATATTGGGTCTTAATTTCCTATAGACATGTTCCGAGTACGTACCGCGTTGAACAGTGTGTTCGCCGCAAATCACACGCGACACCAGACACACTATTATTGCTAGCCGCACCATAGTAGCTACATCTACGTGTTTTCGGACGCTCTCAAAGCAATTAACTGGAAGTGCTAGTTTCTAATCGCGTCTATATGAGTTGTTTATTTTCTCAGCGGTCAACAACATTGTTCTGAGGACAATAGATGGGGGTAGGTCAGACAGCCATTGAGAAATAAACAGATCCGGTCTACACAATAAGAATGGGTGACTAACAAACCTTAGTGTAAACTTCATTCACCTAGTTTAAGGCTCTGGCTGTGTGACCGCAATAATATTGGTGTAGGTGCCTCCTCGAGCTCATTCATTCCTTTATTTAAATTGATAAAATAATATGACTTGGGTCTTTTAAATCACATCCTGTTTTAAGAGGGTGTACGCAGCTTGGGTTTCTATACAAAGCTAATTAAGTAGGTACATTTTATTATTTAAACTGTCAGTTAGATATGCGCCATTTTTAGTTTGTATGGATAGACATAACTGCCTTCTCGTTTCTATAAATAATCTGTTTTTAATGTAAGCACCTTATTTATTTTTTGACGTTGATATATTGCGTTTGAGTGGCAAGTTTTATTAAAATCTGTTCAGTAGTTTCTATGATTTTTGGACTTGAAAGCTTGTATTAATGCCCGTGTCTTGTAAACGCTCTTAATGAGTTAGTTAATATTCGGTTGGATGCATTATTTATTGCAGAAAAATTGCAAAAAAGCAGACGATAGTCTAAGTGAGTTACACCCAATTTCTGCCAAAAATACTGAGCTCCAATACTTAAGAATTAAATTTCGTAAATCGAACAGAATTTGCAATCAAAGACTTTACTCACCCACAAAACATAGGTTAGGTACTTTTTTCTTAATAACATTGGTATTTTGCATTAGCCCAAGTTTTTAATGTACAAAATATAAAGCGTTCTTTTAATTAGATGTGCGTTTGCATCTATGTTATCTTCCTTCTTCCATGATTGTAACAAAATGACTGATTTAGCTTGACTTGTTCCCATTCGTGTTTTCGCCAATACAAACAATATAGAATTACTCATAACAATATCACTGTATCTCAAACATTCACATTTAAGAAAACTGTAACAATATGAACAAGACCACGGCTTACTTTTATTACCAAATAAAAAACACAAGATGTTCTTTTAAAAACAATTTATTCGTTAGAATTAAATTCGACTATTTGGCTCAACCGAAATTATTCATGCCATTAAATTTTGTAAAATCTATAAAGGATCTTTAAGTATGGGAGGGCCAAGATTCGGCACGAATAAGTCAGCTCGACTGGAGTGATACCACGGCCTCACAGAAAGCCGGCGTGAAACAACCAGCGATGTGTTTCGCACTCGTAACACCTTTGGTGTTGCGAGTGTCCATGAACGGCGCCGATTACTTACCATCAGGTAATCCATTACGTCGTTTGCCGTTTTATTCCATAAAGAAAGGATATGGTAAGGTAAGTAGGCCAAAATAGGAAACTCGAGAGTGAGTGAAGTCTTGAAATTGCCGATTAGGATACAAATCTTCCTAGCCATCTCCGTCTAGTTAATCAAAATCGTCGTGTGGTTACACTAAACTTATCTTTTTCATTTTCCGTATCTACTGCCGCGGGTTTCATTAGTGCAGTTGTTGTTTCGGGTCTGGATGTCGTGTATGTGAAATTGAATGTTTGTAAACGCACCCCCGATATAGCAGAAAATCCTAGTGAAGGGCATGGTTTTTTTAAAGAAAAAAACCTTAAAACAGACATTGTCTACGAAACTCTTGGGTCGGAGACCTCAGTTGTGTTGTCGTCAATCCGTCAACACAAATGATGAGCACACCGTTCCAAATTCACCATCAGAGATAATGTACTTATCTTTTATTCTTGCAATCTGTAAATTCGATGAGATGCGATCCGATGAAGCTGATAGGCAGGATGTAGGCCACCTTAGAGAATCTATGATGGAGAAATACACAACCTGGAGAATATCTGACATACCTGACATTATTTTAGGAATAAATAACAATTTCAAACATTGTTTTGCATATATTTTAAGACATTTTGAAGGGGGCAATGATCAAGTGTCTTCTCCTGCCCTTGGTGGCAAGAGGGAATGTCAGAACCTGCCAAAAAATCACCCCGTTCTTTCTCCTGCTACGATCGGGGCCGCTTTACATAGGTACAAGCTCTTGCTCGGCTGGACATCAACCCTTCAGAACTGAATCTAAATAATTTCATGTTTAAAATAATATTTTTTAATCATTCGTCCTTAGACTCAGAACCGACAAATAATAATTACATCCGCACCCGAATATGGCTTTTTTGAGGGGTACTAATCAATTTTTTTCTCTCGCCCAAGATGAGGAGAGAGTGAGTGCCAAATTCTCACTGACTAAAAACCCCCTGTTCGGTCTCTTGTTCTGGGCCGAGGTTTGAAGTACCTACTTGCGCCTGCCCCGCACCCTGGCTCACCATCAGCCTTGTTGGGCCCCATCTGTAGTGGATTATAGGCACTTTGAGGCACGTGGTGCCACGCGCCGTAAGCTCGGACTCCAATATCTTAATTTTTACTTCGTATAAAAGGTTCAAGTTAATTTAAATTTAAACTCTTCTAAAAAATATAGGTTACAAAATATGAAAGTAAAAAGGTATATGAAATATCTACGATTTCAAGCAGTAAACCAATATTAATTTCATATTCTCATTTCTGTATAGGTGCTTATAAATTCAATTACATTTAATGAATAGCATGTAGTTAATTTTTTGTTTCATTTGTGTTGCCCGGTATTGCCTAAGAATATTGCAAACTAAAAATTAACTAAGTATGTCTAGTGTTTGCGCGTAATAACTGACAACTCGTTGGGCATGTTATGCATAAATAGAGGTATAATGACAATAAAAACAATCCACAATATCCTGAATCCCGCTTCCCATCGATTCCGATTAACTTTAAACTCATTATCAATCAATAAGTATTAATTTTATTATATATTTTTTATTTTTGGTCTACTGTAATTCGTCTGCAAACGAGCAGACGGATTACCTGAAGGTAAGCAATCAGCGCCGCCCATTGACACCCGCAACGGAGGATTTACGAGTGCGTTGCCGACCTTTTAGGGATTAGGGATTTGGAGATTTAGGGATTGAGGAGGGATGGGGGCGGGGAAGGATTGGGCCTACAGTAACCTCACTCACACGGCGAAACACAACGCTGTGGTTGTTTCACGCCGGTCTTCTGTGAGGCCGTGGTATCACTCCGGTCGAGCCGACCCATTCGTGCCGAAGCATGGCTCTCCCACACTTATATAAAAACTCACATTGGCATTTGCCAGGTTTCGAGCCCTCATGCATGAGATGCGACATGCGAGCGACCTTAACCTCAGACCCACCACAACAATAACTAAAGTAACGAAGCAGCTAACTTTCATAAATCCATAATGGAAGCTAGTAAAAAGCATTTAAATGGTCAGTTTCCATAAACATTTATATATAAAATACCTATGTATATAAAAAGTTCTAGTTAAATGAGGTACGTATTGCAAATTGGACACACTCCGTTTGGTACAAACAAATGGTGTGACCTTGAATGGGTCGTGGTCGCTGCGACAGTCGCAGCCGATTAGTCGCAAGGAGCGCGTAACCTATGTCTGTCGCAAGCCCATTGTCTGAACTTCCAGTGTGAGAGGAAGTAAACAACTATGGGTATCTACTACTAGTTCATTTCAATAGTGTAAGGTCGAGTTGTAAGTAAGATTGTCCATATTACCTATAATATACCTTAGAATCTTTTATCTGTTTCATAGTGAAATTCTCTAACGAATATTAATTTTTATTTCAAACAAAACGTTGTCCCACACTAGGATTTTCTTCTGTGCCGTGGATGCGTTTATAAAATACAATTTCACATACACATCACACCAAACAGTCGTTTTGTGCGGGAATCGAAACCACGACACGTTGCGCGGCAACCAGTTGCCCAACCACCGCGCCAACCGTGCTGTCGAATATATCTCTTGCAATATCAACCAAATATGAAACAATACTTACATACATTTTCTAGCTTGTTTCCAGCTGTCTCTTTATTGCCTGTTGACCCCAGAGTTTACGATATAGGTACTTACATTTTATGTATTATCATATCTTTCACCGATAAGTAGATATGTTGAAACAAACCAGGAAGTCAACACTATGTTAAAGGAAACAAGGTTGAAGGAAAGAGAATTAAAACAGCATATTAGTGAAACAATTTAATATTATTTGTATAAGTATCAATTATTATAGAATAACTTTCACATATTACAAAAATAATATTCTCTAATTTTATTTTGTACAGATCAAAGCCTCCGATCGTTTTCGTTTAGTTTCGGTTACGGGTAAAGTAAGGGTTCCGATATCATCCGTCTTAATTCGAACATGCGGGCAATATCAAAAAATAATCTTACTTTACTTACACGCCGCTTTATAAGTTAAATATTGCTAATCATAAATTCCATCTAGCTTATTAATTTGTATTTTAAGTCTAACTTATAAATAACTTTATTTTTACATTGATCGTAAGTGATCGTATGGGCTTGTGCGCACATCGCTTTTAATAACCAAGTAGGTACTGCGTTCAGAAGATCCTTCTTTGAATTCTGAAGTCAGTAATTTTTAAGATAAAGAGCAAGACCCACTTTAGAAAAGAAAACGTTTTATTAGGTAAACTAGACATTCGGTAATATTTTATGTAGTAATCTAAAATTCTGAAGCAGTTTGCCTCTTTTTATTAGAGACAGTCGAGGTGCGATCCCCAGGCGGACTGGAATAACGGCTGTCTCATCTGAGAGCCGGATTTACACCGCGTTATGTATCACCCTGGCTACCATTCCAAAAGTCTTTGTTTGATTGAACTTTACCTACTTTAGCTCACAAACCCATACGATCATTATTTGTAATCGTAATGACATCACTTTTAATTAAATAAACTTATCATCAACATCATCGTCAAACTATTTTCAAACTAAAACTTTTAAATTACAACCACATGGAAAAATGTGATTACTACGATATTTCTTTTGTTTTGCTATAGTGAGATATACAAAATTATTGAAAAGAACGACTTACTCGCGTGAATTAATTGAGAAAAGGTCAACCAGTTTCAAGTTACAGCGGGGCTCTTATTAATTTTTTGGCTGCGCGACGTCGTTGAAGCTATGTTGTAGGTAGATCTTTTCTAAGTTCATTCACGATGTTACTGTTTTTATTCCGCGAACGATATTTCGTTGGTTGATATTGAGGTGAATGGGATTTCACCTTTTGCTAGGTGACGCATATTCTAATAATAGTGAATTTCATATCTAAATCCACCAAAACCTTTAGAGAAAGCCGGCGTTTGCGCACCTATTGTTCTTTTATTGTGTGTGTAATTACCACGATTGAAAAGTTAAACCAAGTGCCATTATCGTCATTTTTACCTTTAAAATCACAATATTAAGTGGAATTAGTACCTATGCTTTTTTTCATTTTTTCAAGACAGTAATTTTTAAATTATAGCTCTTGTACATATTACATAAATTAAATCTATATTTATCGTTATAACAATACTCAATCCAATTGACTGTACTGTTTTTGTCACGTCATGTTTCGCTATATTGCTCATAAATATGAGTCCCCGGCGTGGTTTGAAACTATACGAGGTATCTCGACAATCGTTACAAACAAGTTACGTGAGAGCCGATAAATATTATATTTAATGAATGCAATATGTAAAATATTTGTTTTTATCCCATTCCATGAAAACAATGGTATAAAAATGCAGATTTTTACTTCGAACCGCACAACAATGCGTAAACACTAAGCATTCATTAAGATTTACATACTGAAGATTATTTAATTAGATAAATGAGTTACTTACATAATATGCATATTTGTCATGGTGTAAACGAAAATAATAAATATTCCTTCAAGTACTACTATTTTCATAATATGACATTACATAGTTTAAAATATCCTTATTGCTGTAATTATTGCTTTATTCATTGTAAATTTTATGAAACTTATTTAAATTAACAGTATAAAGTTATAAAAATCTTGAAACGCTCGCACGAAATCTTTTTTTATATATGTATTTAAAAATTAAGTTTTAACAAGAAAACAATTATTAACATCAGGCCATTAAGTTTGATGAGATCTATTATCATCAAAAACTTAAATTACTTCTTCAACAACTTTATGAACTAGTTTCAGAAGACCTCTGCTTCACTGAGAAGCTGAACCTACTTCAATTTGGATTTCTTCATGGGGCAAACAGTTTTTTGCTTACCAGGAAGCGTGTAGACCTCTTATTCTGTCGTCCAATAGTGAATTAGACAGTGCCTAGATTTTTGTCAGCCTTTATAATGGACAATTTTGACCATTTACTATATTAGTCCATTTAATATCAAAGCGACATCTGGTGAGAAAAAACGGCAGCCCCCATAAAAATCTTGCTTTGTTTTTTATCTGGACGATAATGCAGTATACCTTTAAAGCAAAATGTACAAAAGGAGAAAAAAAAATAAACTAAAAATGTCATAATGACAAATAATATTTATTTATTTATTGTAGTGTTACATTATTGTGTATATGGACGGCTTGATGTATGACTTCAGATATGTTCATAATAATTATTACATAAACATTATTTAGAAGATTCACATGATTATGTGTATAATTATGACAAAAGTTATTACGTATTCTGATAGACATGACAATTTGAGTAATTTTGAGTACAGTTTGAGTAATTTATTACTCAATTAGTAATATAAATGTATTGAACATTAAATGATATAACGTCATACTTTTTACCATGAAGTACAAGCAGTAATTTGAAATGAAACTGTTAAGAATATCAATGACAATAAAATTCAACAAAATATTCTTTATCTCTGTCTTTCATAGTGTTGTTTCGTGTTGTTTGTGTTTCAGTGTAATGATGTATGCTGTAATGAAGGTTACTTTTTATGCTCGCCAGATGGCGCTAATGTAGTTTAGGATCCTGTTTGTTTAATAGAGAATTAGCTAGTGTCAAACTATTGTACACTGTTGGACTATTAGACAAACGACTCCATACTTTAGCACCATCTGGTGAGAATTAGACAAAAGCTCTCAATGAGTTCATCATAATAAATGCTTTTTGGAAGGCAGTTTTGCTATCGTCTGCGTATAAACTGAGCTTTGAAATGCATGAGGCGGTGTGAATTCAGAATAATTGCTTATTTACGGCAAGACGGTGCGGGTTTGGGTGGACCGTCTGCAGGAGACCGAATCCACTGCACCTTACAAATGTATATGGCGACTTAGTGACCGATATTTAAACATGTGATTGTACTCATGGCAACATTTGTTTCTCTACTCATTTGTAACTATAACAACTTCGCGCGCCCTATCAGTTGTTAGCAGCGAGGCGCCCCGCGCCCGGTAAACTTTACACGCCCGCCAGTAATTTTGTTAAAGTAATAAAAATAATCAAACTAATGAGTAAATATAGAAAAAGCTGTCTATGGGAAACTTTCTTGTTATCATCAGTACAATCACGAGTTTTAATATAGGTCAGCACCCTAAATATGCAGTGGACGATGGAATGTCGACGCACCGTGTTCCCGTAGCTTTACTGTTCCGAATCATTAATAATTTAATCAGATCTTTGGTAAAGACTCTGGTAACAAAATATTTCATGTTTCTTCTTACTAGTGTTGTGGCATATTGATTATTCAAATCGATACAATTTATTATGTCTGTGTTGTGTTAGTGCTTTCGGTATTGCCATAAACAAAAAAAAATGGAGTGCAAGTAAGCATGTAGAAAGTCAAAATATAAAAAAACTGAAACAAAAAGTATAATTTCTTTTGAAAATGAAATTTATTTATTAAATTATTTTATTTAAATAAAAATAAAAAGTTTTGGGTAATAGGAAATTATTCCAATCTATTCTTCGTTTTTTCTCTTAGCAACTACACTAGCTGCCGACTTATTTCGAAATTACAATACAAAATATCAAAACACAGCATGTCAGAGTTGTTAATTCCACAAAACAATATTTTAGTAATCTTTCAAGGTAATGAGTAGAACCTATTTTTTACTCCCACCTTTTTAAACATAGACAGCGTCCATTTTAACCTTTTCTATTTTCAAACATTTCCGTTTACTTTCTTACACTGGGCCTTAAAACATAACCTTACATTATACTTCAGTATTTACTTAAGCTAGTACAAAAACGAGTTTAAACCAAAAAATAAAAAAATGGTCGAGTACGTTCGGTGACTAAATACTGCAGTAAACAATAGAATAAAACAATAGATAGGTACTAAAATGTTAAAGAATCACCTTATAAATTCTATTACAAAAATCAAAACAGAAAGAAGCATAAGTATGTTTTAATGTAAATAAATACCTAAGTATTGAGATCATGTTCTAAGGCCCAACCAATCCCTTCTATAACTACCTTCCATAGATTCAATAACGCTATAACATTTTACAACTATATCATAAGACGCAACATTAAATCTATTATTCAGCTATCAATTATACTAATTTCGTCTAATAAAGGACGCAAAGAGGTTTTGAAGTCCAATTACATACAACCAGACTAGACAACGAAGGCACTAACTCGCAACGAATTAAAAATATATTAATTTTATCTTCTGAACACCAAACATCAACTTTTAAGCATAGAGGTTGATTTATACAACCTTTAAACACCCCGTAGTTTCAATATGGCCGCTTAAATTAAATGCGCACCAAATTTAACATTGACATTACACAAACTACTAAGTTAATCTTGATACTTGCAAAGTAATTTGGCATTCATAAGCTTATTATTTCAATATTATAAAAAAATAAGCAACATGCTTTAACCATGCTTAGACACACTTTGGTCGAGAAGACAAACCGAAGATCATTTGGACAGACTTCAAAAATATGTATTATCTATAATTTATAAAATAAAATTAACTAAAATAAAAAGAGTTAGCTAAATAAATACTAGTATTTGGTTCGTATGAATACTACGGATGTAAATATACATATTACTTAGATAAAAAATTATGCAGTACAAGTTAAAAAGTCAATAAGACTTGAGAATGAAGAATTATAACACCTAATTTCGCAACACAGTCACATTTAGAACAAGAAACGTGACGCACAAATGGACTAAAATATTTGTGACAATAGAATTCTAGGAATCATCATATTCACCAAATCGTGTAAAGAAAAACAATACGAATACACGATAAGGCGATTTTTAAGAAAAAATCTACAAGTGCAAGCCGCATTAAGGTAAATAGGTTTAAAAAGCAAAAATAAAAATAAATTTAAAGCTAGGCATAACTTACTTAAAGGACCAAAACCTCTTACGCGCCGTATAATCTAATATTTCGCATAGAAAAATATCTATAGACGTATTTATTATATCTATGACATAAAATTTAATAAAACGATCATGTTCTTTGAGAGCTCGATCATGAGGACATCGCGTTTGGAATCTGAAAGCCAAAAGTTTATATGGGTAATATGTAACAACAATCTATACTTATATTATAAAGAGGTAAAATTTGTAAGTTTGTAAGGTTGTAATGTAAGTTTGTATGTAGGGGTAATCTTTGGAACCACTGGTCGGATTCCCAAAATTCTTTCACTTATTAATAGCTACAACGTTCCCGAGTGCTATAGGCTATAAAACATCACGCTACAATCAAATGGAGCCGAGCAGCAAGTGAAACCGCGAGGGAGTAGCTAGTGTTATATAAAAATAAAATTAAATACTAGGATATAAAGTGAGTTTAAGTGTCGGTATAGTAAAAACACTTTAAAACACAATGCATAAAATATAATTTTCCTTGTTAGTTTTTTGTAATATCGGCAGAAAATCCATCTATTTACTTATGCAGACAAGTGTGTTCATAATTAAGTAATCTCCAAATTACATGCCACAAGCTCTTGGGAGCGTTTAAAGATTTTAAAGGTCATAAAAGAACAAAATTATTGGGAAGAAAAACTGTCCAAAAAAGCTTTAAAATTAGTAAAAAATCCTTATAAACCAAAATATTAAGGGAAAACAACACAGTTTTGAAATACAAAAAGAATCTCTCCGGCGGGGAATCGAACCCCGGTCTCCCGCGTGACAGGCGGGGATACTTACCACTATACTACCGAAGATGTATTGACTGGCAATGAAATATACGACTAGATTATTTCACATTTTTTATTTATTTTCATTTTTATAGAATTGTTATTTACTTGTCCTAAAATATTATGACGTCACATAAATCAGTACTCATCGTACTGAATCATAGAAAATTATCGTGTTACTTTTGATTGCAAATATGAAATTAACTACATAGTTGAGAACTGCCATGTTTTTAAAGTTTTTTTAATTATTGTTACGGTTTCCATTTAGACTGGTGGTAGACAATGGAGCCCGCCTGTCTTTTAGGATAACTATTAGATCTATTGTGTGATAGTATAAAAGTATTTTTACTAGTATAAATATTAAAGTGTGAATAGAACTACAATAGGAAGTCAAGTAACTTGAAAACTGAATAACAAAATGAAAAACAATAAAAAATGCAAATGAAAAGAAAATTAAAATAAAACATATGAAATAATTTATAATATTGCAATAATAAACTACAAAAAGAATCTCTCCGGCGGGGAATCGAACCCCGGTCTCCCGCGTGACAGGCGGGGATACTGACCACTATACTACCGAAGACGTGATCATTGTGTCGAAATTAAGACTCTAGTTGTTTGTCTGCGCAATGGATCTTGTAGGAACAAAATTGTGTACTGCGCAGCTAATCGGCTAACTTCAGACTCGCCAAGATACCCCGGCCGTATTGTATGTACCGATACAATACGGCCCTCCCATGAATAAGATAATGTAATTTTTTACGGAGGCACTAATTTGATTGACGTTTACTTTTTTAATTTCGATCAAATTACTATTCTCTCTACTCCTGGTTGGGGTGAGAGTCTAACTGACTAAAAGTCACCCGTTCCTACACCTGCTCAGCTGCAGCATATTATTAGCAGATGCGGTATATTATTGCACCTGCAACTCCAGCTGATCCTAGTGTGACTTGAAAGGTTGAGTAGTAAGTATATAAGTAGTAAAGTAGGGCTTTTCTCGAAAACTTCACGTAAATAAGTACTTAATATGTTTCTACCAATTAAATATGATTTTAAAGTAATGTAAAGTAATATTATGAGTTTGTACTGTTACCTCACGTGTCCACCGACTGGTTGGCGAGTGAGCCATCCCACGCTGCCTCTTTGTGTAGAGCCGCTTGGCGTTTCTTTTCTGAAAGGATTAACACGCGTAACATTAGTTTATGTAAGTATATACCAAAAGCGCAACGGCTGGGAAACTGGCTTTTGTGCAACGTGTCGCAGGTGAGATTCCCGCACGGAACAACATTTTGTGTGAACCACATACTGTTGTTCCGGGTCTGAGTGGCTTGTGTTTATTTCTTTGCCACGGCACTGGAAAAAATCCTAATGGGAAGCAACATTGTTTTTTAAGAAAAGAAACAGAGCTTTGTCTGTCTGTTTAAATGTTTGGAGGTCTCACCTCTGGCAAGAGTGATAAGCCTCCTCTCTTCAGCTCGCTCCTGTCGCGCTGTACTCAGTTTGACGCCAAGAGCACCGGACACCAGACGCCTTGCTAGTGCTGTGCATGTTTCTGGTCGTTGTCTGAAAATATACAAATTAAAGTGAGTATTATGACATAAATCTTTTGTGTATTCTGTACTAAAATTATAAAAAAAAATTGTTTATTTGCCTTAATTGTTTAGCCTCCCGGACTCTTTGACCAATTCGAAAAATTATTTCAGTTTGGAAGGCGTACTTATTATTATACTCTCGGTAAACATAACCTATAAACAGCGCGGGTGGAGACATAAGGGCATACTAAGGGCCAGTTTTTTGATCCGTAGTTAAATACGATTTGACTATTTGTTATCTTAACTATAGTCAAGAGGGTAACCAATTGTTATTACGTAATTTCATTTTTTGATGTCCACTTTAACTATAGTCAGACATAACCATTGGTTAATTTGTTGCCAGTGCAATGAACAACTTCCTCCCTAGAAAAAACGTGTTAATTTGTGGGTATTTTTCTTTAACTGACAACACTGATCAATAATGAATGAAGTTGAACCAAATGTCATTTTTGATATTTCAAAGCTTTCAAAAGTGTCTTGATTTCAAACTGAATCGTTTGGTTTTATCATAGAGATAGTATAGGTATAGAGAAGCTAATAGCGTATACGACGTGAGATAAAAAATGTCTTATATATACATTATAGGTAGGTATGTACATTAAACGGCTCACTACGGCTTTTACAGCCAATTTCACTGCAATTTACCGTATTAATTTACCGTATTGGTTCGATTTAAATATTAAAATAAAGTATAATTACGCTAAAAAGGGACAAGAAACATATGTTTTGTCTTGCTCACACCTACATATATTCCATTTGCACTTTCTCGCTGTAACCATTATTATTGTTTTAATAGCTTGTCTATTATATTCTCTGTCTATGGGTTTTAATAGTGTTTTCTTAAACTTGGTGTTTTTTGCATCAAATAAAGGACTTTTTATTAAATAATAATGTCAGGAAACAAGTAAGGAAATGACTTTCTTTATATGTCTTATAAGTGTGGGAGAGCCATGCTTCGGCACGAATGGGTCGGCTCGACCGGAGTGATACCACGGCCTCACAGAAAACCGGCGTGAAACAACCACAGCGTTGTGTTTCGCCGTGTGAGTGAGGTTACCCTTAGGCCCAATCCTTCCCCTCCCCCAATCCCTCCTCAATCCCTGAGTCTCCAAATCCCTTATCCCTAAAAGATCGGCAACGCACTCGTAACTCCTCCGTAGCGGCAGTCCATTTTTTTTTTGTCAGGGGAAAATCATCCAGTGACTTCTCCCGCCCCGGGCTGGGCGGGAGGGAGTGTCAGACTCTTACTAACTAAAAACCCCCCGTTCCTTCTCCTGCTCTGGACCGAGATCGCGGTGCCTCATTGCGCTTACCCCGCAACCGTTGCGGGTGTCCATGGGCGGCGCTGATTGCTTTCCATCAGGTAATCCGTGTGCTCGTTTGCCGAACTACTACATAAAAAAATGTTATTGAATTGTCATCCATAACTCTTCAAATATTGCTGACTTTCGTGGTATTTTTACTATGTATTTTGATGTGGTATTTTATTCATCATTTCATAAATTTCCAGGGAAAACCGCAGTTCTAACTTTAAATCTTCTGAGTCTGACGCATCAAAATAACGGACAATATTTAAATTAATTGTAGATAATGTAATTCTTCGGAATGAGATCACAAAATTATACAACAAAGCAAGAATCAGCTGTCGAATCTAGTTTAACTATCCGCCATCTTGGTTAACCCGCCACCGAGCCGTGGTTAAATTATTTGACTAATAGTTAATAATTTGACAATTAGTTGAGCTAACTAATGATTAAAAAACACATTTTGTCGATATTTAACCATTAGTCAAGATTTTTAACAATTGGTTGGGTTAACTACGGATCAAAAAACCGGCCCTAAGTCATAAATAAGCGAGTAACAAATGACTTGAAAAATCCGTCGTAGATGAGCTGTGTCATTTGCTCCGAAGCTCTCTCACATGAAGTTAAGAATGTTTATGAACTGTATTAGCGTAAATTCAGCATACTCTTTAATGGTTTTACAACTTCCGCTGTACGTAGAGTCTAATGAGTACCAATAAAATGAAAAAAAAAAAGGTTTCGTCACTTCGCTACAAAAGTGAGACGTCACTTTGGACCGTAGGCCAACAAAAGGCCATTATAAGAGCTACTTATATTTAGGGACATATTAAGTAATGTTATTGATTAAACATACTATTTTATATACTTTACAACTAACTTATCATACTCAACTTCAATAGGCTGTCAACTATACTTTGGTAATAAAGTCAAAAACACAAGACTTCAACTAACATTTTAAGATCAATATCATCCAAAACGAACCAGCAGTTCTCGAGTTTTAGCGAGACTAACGAACAGCGATTCATTTTCATATAAAAGTTGAAGATTGAAGATTATAATAAAAGAGTTGGATCCTCCCTCACCTATAAGGCTGCAAGAATTCCGCACACTTCTTCGCTTTGTTCCTAGACTCTAGAGTGGCAGCATGAAGCGGTCGACACTTTACGAGGGGACGCTGCGTTGACAGAACCTCTCCAGCTGAAATATTTTATAATAAAAATTTTTGTTTAACGATAGAAAATCGATTAATGCCAAAGTTACGATGTTTGTTACTCAATCACGCCAAAACGGCTGGACGCATCTGGAAGAAATTTGGCACAGACATAGCATACCTACACTCCGGTAGGACATAGGATACTTTTTATCAACATACCACGCGGGCGGATGCTAGTTATGAATTTATTTTTTGTGTCTTGTATTTGCCAAGAAATCTTGGTTTATTTTACTGCTATTATTAGAATTTAGTAAAATTGTGAGTTCAATGTAAAATAATGCTTTTTTGTTATAGTAAATAAATACTAAATATGAAAACACAAAACTACGTTATTTTTTTATAAAAAAATTAAAATTGTAAAAACTACTAAAACTACTTTAACCCAATAAACAAAAACAGATATTACAGAAAATTAACAACCTATCTATATTTGATAATATTAATATAGATCACCTTTTTAATCTGTGCACATATTTTTAGTTTTGTATCCGTTGGCCGCATTCCAAACATAACCACGCAAAGGTAATAAATGTTTATGCGAACTAAAAATGTTTATAATCTGTGCTATTCTTTTATGTTTAGGTTGAATTACGTGTTAAGTTCTTTCAATTCAATAATATGGAGGAATCTTCGGGGTGAATTTATTTACGAAAAAAGAAAAAGTGACTTTTCGGAATTTTACTGAAGTCTTCTGAATGGAAACATCTTAGACAAAATTACTCTAATATTCGTCAATAAGCAAAACTTTAAAAAAATATGTGGCTAACAATTTACTTGATAAATGTTACTAATGTTCCCTTCTAGCCTACTAATTCCGAAGAGGACACCGATATCACGACGTCGTTGCCTCGTCGTTATACTACGGCACTCAGTTACAAAATTGTATCACGCTTTATTTGAAATTGGTGAGAGAATGAGAAATAGTTGAAGGTTGGAACTTTTTTATGAAGAGCGAATTACCCTCATTTGCAGAACCCGCTAAGGGCGAAAAACAAAAGTGACGTCACACTTTTGGTTAGACACAATATAAATATGTAGGTACAAAAACATAATTAAACATATGTTACAAAAGAGAGGCAAACATTTTTTATCTAATCCGAAACTAACAATTACTTAAAATAACAATTAACCCGTAATAAAAATTGCCCGCCATTACAATCTCGACTTGACGTATAACAACCTACATTTTGGCGCGCAACCTCGCAAGGAGGTTCGATGACCCGCGTGACGCAACGCTGCGCCGAGCAAGTAGCACGACGCCCGCGCTACATAGCGTTGTAAGAAGCGACTCTTTGTGGTTACAAAAGAAATTAGATTCGGAATCCCATTTGTGCTAATATTTGAGTGATTTACCATTAAAAGTTTCAGGTTTTATTTGAAACTCAGGCAATAATAGGTCACAACAAAAAATATTTCTTTGACCAAATTATTTAACCTTTCAATCGTGGCGATTCGAGAGACAATACAAGAACAATAGTCGTCCGAAAGCCGGCGTTCACTTGGGGGTTTGCTGAATTAAATAGTATCGAAATGTATGAAGGTAAGAAGGTTCAAGTTCAGAACTAAGTTTCGCAGTAAAATGAATGTGGAATAGTCTGTATGTGTCTGTGTCTTGAAGCTTAGAAGTGCCTAACATTTCTACTAAACTTTGACTGGGCTATAATGCTTGCTGCACTAGTTTTTGGGTAAATAGAGGAACGAGTAGTCGGAGACCTTGGTGGTAATCATTCGACGCCGACACACACAACACCAAATGAGTATTAAACGTGTTATAACCTCAAACAAAACGGTAAAACAAAAAATAACTTAGCACCAAGCCCTATCTTAAAAAAATTACAAAAAAAACCACGTAAAATACGAGTAATTACAACACAGACTTAACAAGATACAGGAAACATAAAAGCAATTCAAATCGACGCAGAAATTCCGGTTAGCCCTACGAAACATTAAAATGGAATGCATTACATATGAGTATGAAAGTTGTCCTTACCAATAGACATGCATACATGTATAAATCTAGATACATAACTAATTATACATGCTTGTGTGACCAAACCAGGTGCATTTATTTCGCACAAGCTGGCGAAGTATTTAAGGGTACGGAAACGGGTGATTTTTGAGAGTAAATAATATATTTATGACACTGCACTCGCTTCACGCAGGATGAGGAAAGTCATTTGCTGATTTTTCCTAATTAAAAAAAAGTTGGAATTGGTATTGGTAATTATTAAGTCTATGGATATATGTATAGTACGAATTACTAGGGTAAAAAGTAGTCATGTGTTATTCAAGACTATAATCTATATTAGTGCCAAAATTCATTCGGATCCATTCCGGATTACGTGAAAGATCCGCCGATCGATACAAACTAACTTTTGCGTTTTGTTATTAGGAAAATTATAGCAATGTGCTTTTCTTTGACTGATGGTTAATTATAGAACCAGGTATAGCACGAACTTAAAATCTCATTAATCAACGATTTATTAAGTTCATCTTAAGCAAATAGTATATATAATATATAATTGAAATGGAAGGTTGATATGCATAGCATCCCTAAAATAGTGGAAAAACTTAGTATCAGCGTTGCGCCAAAGCCGGGGCGGGTCGCCAATAGGTACCTATAAGCTTTTTTTGTAAGGGGAAAATCATCAAACGACTTCTCCCGCCCAGGGTGGGGCGACATGAGTATCAGACGCGCTAATATAGGCTAAAATACACATACTGCTGCTAAACAAGTATACGTAATATACACAAACTTAGTTAAAAAAAAACCTCACACGATATCATTAACGTGCGCTGACAAAGTTAGTATATAATTACCGAGGAAAACTAGTAGAATCATTAATCAAATAAATTGAAAATTAAACGAATGAATAATGCAGTAACAGCTGTGTGAGGTTGATGACTTTTAATACAGACTTCAGTGTACCTGAGCAAGTAAACATTTATCGTTGTCATTTTATTAACTGGCAAAACGATGGTTCGTCATTTTTCAGTTAGGTTTCTAGTCTGTTCCTTACTAACAAATCAGTATAAAACTTCAAAACCAGCGCGTTTATATTTCGTAAAATTCAATATTAAGATCGTCATTCATCCAAATACGATTTCTTGAAAATTCTTACTCAAAACTCGAATTGTTAATTTAAAAACTAAACTTCACGGATTGAATGACAACCCTACATGACAATCACAATAAATTAGACAGTATAATAGGTTCATTAATGCATTCACCGACGCGTATAATATACACTACAAACTTGCATGATTTTAATTTTGCAAATTAAAAACGTACAACCTAGTTCGCGCCGAAAACGTACGTAGAGGAAGTTCGTTCAACCATGAAGTCTGTATTGCGTAAGTGAACCTATATGGTCACTCGCCATAGACAACTTCGAAATTCCAAGGAGGTTTTACAACGGCAAAATAAAAAAGATTAATGACATTAGTGGGGGATCAAAGCGGCTAGAAACTAGACTAGATCTTCAGGAGATAAGTTAAACAATTGATGTCGAACAATGATGTTACGAAAAAATGCTCCATTTTATGCAAAAGTGAGGCAAATTCCTAAAAGTGATAGAACGTTTAATATCTCCTAACCTCTTTAAAATGTAAATAAAGTTGTCCAGGATCTACCTGTAAGCTAATAAACTGTATTAAGATATCAAAAACTAATATTATAGAGGTAAAATTTGGAAGTTTGTATGTAGGGGTCATCTTTGGAACCGCTGGTCGGATAGCCAAAATTCTTTCACTAATAGATAGTTACAATGTTTCTGAAGCTATAAAACATCACGCTACGATCAAATGGAGCCGAGCAGAGGGTGAAAACGCGCGAGAGTAGCTAGTCCAAAAAAGACGATGGAAGAGATCCATTAAGATATATAATACCAGACCTTTGCACCCGATCGTTTTTCCCCTAAATTGTGTGTATGTATATAAATAATAAATAAATCTATTAAATTATCGAGAAACAATTAATTTTTTTTGTAGTTATCTTAGCAAAATTGTTTTCTTACATATTATCACCATCTATTATCTGATTTTCCTTTAGAAGTTAAGAGATCCAAACAATTACTGAAACTTGAAAGCTTTTACTAGGTAATCATATATTATTGTAACGTGTTACAATATTCTCTGATACTGAATCATAAACCAATATTAAAATGATCCATTAGTTGAGGAAACCACATAGCACACATGGGGTTTAATAACAATTACGTTTCATATCGAACTATTAGTGATATCAATTCTGAAAGCCTATGCGGTTAAAGCTGTCTGAATTAGCCGCACACGTTTATTTTCGACCTCGGCACAGAGCAGGAGAAGGAACAGGGGGTTTTTAGTCAGTAAGAGTGACACTCCCTCCTGCCCGGCCCTGGGCGGGAGAAGTCATTTGATGATTTTCCCATCACAAAAAAAAACGTTTAGATTATATATTCTTTAGTATATATTTACACTTAAGTTAATCATATATTTATGCATTCAGTTACATTTAATAAAATTAAAAATATGCACGAAATATACAATGAGCGATTATATTGTATTCTGCGATCTCTTCCTGACAAACTTTGTTTATCGATTGATTCGAAATTTGAAAATGAAAAACAGCGAGGTAAAAAGGTCTTAGTTAAATTGATGCAATACCAACAAAACAACATGTACTTCTAAGATTATTAGTAGATATTATTATTTAGTAGATTGTTTAAGGTTGCACTGGCACCTTATCTACATCGAAAAAATATCAGACCTTCCTTAGTAAGACTAATTTTTTACTTCACATGGATGAATGGAACAGCATATGTCAAACAACTAGATGTTCCTGCATAACCAATGAACAAGAATCTGTTGAATTTAACGACACCCACAAACACTGAGATCCAAGTAGAACAGGTTTATAATAATATACATAAGGGTAGCAGGTGTTGTTTTAAGAATAGCACGACTAGGCATTATGAACAACTGGACACCCAGGTAGGGAATATGG